ATTTCGATGTTGGAGAATCTTCGAGGCTAATCAAACAGGCGGATAGGAAACGAAAAGGGATAGTTCTAAATTATAATTTTGTAAAAGATGTGCCTATCAGTAAACCTGGAAAGAAAGCTAAGGTGGCTCCCAGTTCAAAAACTCCCAAAAAGAAGAAAAATTCAAAAAGATCCCCTAGTGTTAAAACTCCAAAAAATGTTCGAAAACACTCATTGGTGAAGGTAAGAATTTTTTAATTTCTTCACTAGTTATTTCGCCTATTTTAGTTGTTAAAAATCTACATAATCTGTGGTTTTTTTTATTTGTAGATTTTTGTAGAAATGCTGTATATAAATTGCATATGTATCTATGTTTTTAAGCACTGAAATTATGTGATATTATTTGTCTTAATTTTGTTGTTTAATTGTAGATTTTTTGATCTATTTAACATTGCTGTTATATTGTATAATTTTGAAGTTATTTTGCAGAAACATACAAATGTATCAGTGCTTTTTAATTACTGTATTAATGTTAGATTACATTTGTTGAATTTTGCAGAATGGACATTTTTTTGCATTCCATAATGTTGATTATGGGGTGCTTAGATTTCAGACATTATGTGACCCTAGCATTCCTAGCCAAATTAAAGCGCTTTTGTCTCCAAATGGTTTGAAGTTGTTAAAGAAGACACGCTTTGGTTATTTACTGTCATTTCCCAATTTATGCATGCAAAATCAAGCTATTCATATTCTTATGAAGTATGAATTGAAATCATCTGATGCTTCCTATTTTTCAGCTGAATTAAAAGGTGAGAGGTTAAATTTTGAATTGTGAGAGTTTGCAGTAATAACTGGTCTTAGATGTCATACTGAGGTGACAAACTTTGGTTACACTCCTAGTTATGTCAGTAAGTTAATGAGCGGTTACTTTTCAAACAAAGTAAAAGTGGAGAAGACATACTTAAAACAGATACTAACAACCAAAAGCTGGGTCAATGATGAGGATGCAGTCAAGTTATGTATTCTATATCTCATAGAATACTTCATTTGTCCTTCAGAGAGAGATCATATTGGGTTGGTAGATCATTTTAGGTTTTATTTGGTTGAATCCGGTCAGTACGAGTCATTTTCATGGGGTGTTCAGTCTTACAGACAGTTGATTGAATCTGTTAGGCACATGCTAAATCCTTTCGTTCATTCTTATCTCATTCGAGGATTCCCACTAGCCATGCAAGTATGGTTGTATGAGTGTTGCTCCTCCGTCAACATTGATACAGCTACAAAGATTTCTAATTCAATCCCTCGCATACTAAACTGGTCAGCTGCTAAGGGTTAGATTTGGTTAGCTGCAATTGAAGACAAAATGATCAAGCCTGAATGGATGAAGGTAAATGGTCTTTATTTATCATAATAGAATGTATCTACAAAATATTTACATTTTGTATACATATTCTGCCTTAAACAAGCTAATTTCTTTTTTTCATCATTCAGTTCACTAACATAAATGAATCACCTGAAGAGCTTTCAGTGATGTCTTTACCTGATAAAGTTGAGTACACAATTGAAGAGGTTGAACATGTTTCTGAGAATCCAAAAGTTGTTGCTCCTCCATTGGAACCCAAAGAATCAATTGAAAAAGAGTAAAAGGAGTCTATTCTTCGTAAAATAAAAAAGTTAAAAAGAGGTGTTGAGAAGGTAACATATAGTCCCAATAAAGCATTCTGATTTTTATATAATAGTGTATCTGTATTTTAATACATATTTCTGACAGTAATTATGTATTTTTTTTATTATGTAGGTCGATGAAAAACTTGAAAAATTAAGGAAAGATGTATTTGAAGAACTAGGTAGCTTCGAGACCTAATAAAAGGATTCAGTCAAGACTGTTTTGCAGGTGATAAACAATCCAAATGATCAAGTTGATTCAAAGGTAACATTTGAATCTTAATCATATTAACAAAACTATTTATGTCACCTCTAAAATATATATCCTAACTAATATAAACTTACAGTTTGCTGGAGTTCAACAAAAAATACTGACCAACCAAAAGACAAGAACAATCATCAATTTCAGTTCAATAGTGGTGAAACAGTGCAGGTCAACCCCAACAAAACAGGTATCTACAATATATCTCAAGTATATCTACAATTATATACAAAATATCTACAAATTATCTACAACATAACTACAATTTGAATACATTATATATACACAATACATACAATTAAATCCAGCTTACTTACACAGTAATATAGATTTATGTAGATATTATGACACACCTTCATATATTCATAAGTTTTCAAGCTAATACTATTCAGTATTATTTAACATTTTTAATGAAAAAAACAGAACATGTTGAATGTGCATATGGTGAAGAAAATCATCTAGCACGTGTTGATTTATATACACATTTTGAAGGGGTTGTTGATGAAGAGAATACAGGTTTGAAATTGTATTCAGAGATATTTTCTTTTTGTTTCAATATTTTTACCATTTAAGTTATATATACATGGTGTTTCAGAGAGCGAAGATATGCATGCACAATCTCCAATTCATGGAGTGACAGTAGCAGTTCAAACAGAACAGCATAATCCGGAAGATGACAATGTAGTTTAAGAGGCAGAGTATGTATGTAGGTGATTCAGAAGAATCCGGAGGTTAGAAGAAGGAGGTTACGCTTGATGATTTCGAGCTGCCTGATAACTTCTCCCAGTTGGTTAAGTTCGGCGAGCTTATACAAGATGAAACAATACTCTGCATCAAGGTAGAACAAGACAGCCGGGAAAGCATGCCCGATAACCATTTCTCTCTTTATATAGTTCTGGTGGCAGCACCTCGGTTGGACATCAAATATTTTACCTCAAGCACCCGTTTACTAGTGTTATTGGTCAAAATGTAGACCCTGAGTTGTTGGATCAATTCCATACAACGGTACCGACACAGGTCTAAAGAGGTTAGGTTTCACAATTTGACACTTTTAATTAGGTATTCATCTTTTACACATCCACTTCATTCAAATATTTTATTTTAATTTCTATTTGTTTATATAGGAAGAAAGCTCCGTATTTTATAAAAGACAACCAAATTAAGCCATGGTTGGATCTTGGAGTTGAAAAGGTTGACAATAAGGAGTGGTTCTTTTCCCTTGCACACCCAGGACAAGTCCTTAATGACTCGGTAAGATTCAATGTATTTAATTTGTAGATATTTTATAGATAAATTTTAAATATTTTGTATTCTGAATGAGTAGATGCTTTGTATTCTGATTGTAGATGTATTGTAGTTATTTGTAGTTTTGTGTAGAATATTTGAGATAACATGTAGAATAAATGCAATTTGTTTTTGTTGTAGTACATTAATGTTATAATGTATTACTTGAGAAAAAGAGGCAAGTATGGCCCCCACAACAACACCAGATTTACTACAACAGATTATGTGTTCAAGACTAGGATTGATCAGATTTATGAAAAGTTCAAAAAATTTCCTCAAGAAAAGAAGTTTTCTGTTGTTAAACCCCAGAATGTTGTAGCAGAATATATATTGGGGTATAGACTACTCGCAAATATTGTATGGGATGAAGTTGATTATGTCATCATGCCCGTCAACATTGTAAAAAAATTCCACTGGGTGTTGGTTGTTTTTGACATTGCAGAAAGGTGTCTTTATGTGTATGATTCCATGATCTCTTCACACAATCACCCTATTGTTGAATCTTGTGTCAACAAGTTTTCTATTATTATCCATTTATATTTGTCATGCAACGGATTTTATGGGAAGCGTAAAGACATCAACTTCAAGAATACAAAAGCATACATTGAGAAACCAGTTACCGATCCTCTTAACATTCAGTGGATCGTCGGAGAGATATCACAGCAAAAAGAAGGATCAATGTAACAAAAAACTTCTTTTTTCTTTACATTTAACCCTTTTTTATCTGATGGTTTGGTAAATATTGACATTTTTTTTATCTTTTGCAGCGATTGTGGTGTATTTGTTGCTGCCTTTGCAGAATATGTTAGTATTGGAGAATTATCCATTCCTTCAAAAAACCTTTATGATATTGAGCAACACCGTAGACGCTATAGAGCGCTACTTTGGGACTATGCTAGAAAGAAGCAGGAGCTTGAGGCAATTAGTGATAGTGAGGTGACACGCTAATTGGCAAGGAGGAAAGGTGCACCAGCTTTGAATGAGAAAACGAGAGTCCAGAGGAAGAAGAAGTAGTTGTAATGTTTGGAATGGATCATGTATTACAATTGTGTAGTTGATGCTAGTTTATAAGATAGATGATAGACAAGTTTTTGAACAATTTATTATATTTTAATTGTAGCAGACTTGTGCAACAATTATAGTAGCCTTTATTTCTTTTTTCTTATCCAGTATAGTAGAACAAATGGAAACAATTTGTTGGGTTTATATTCACTTGTTGAATATGTACAGTACTTGATCTTCATTATTTAAAGCATTTAAATCCTTTGCAACTGATCTACATTTATTCTGATCTACATTATTTTCACCATAAAGCTTCTTTCTACCTGAATTTTAATTTATATATTATGTCAGCTACAGATATTGTAGTTTTTTTGTAGTTGTATTTGTAGATAATTTGTAGATTATTTTAGTTATTATGTTATGTTTCTTTTATATTCATTTTTTCAATGTAAACAATACTTCATCTACAATATTTTAAGTTTTTAACTAATTTCCTACGGATTTATAATGTATATACTCTGTAAATTCCAGATAATGTATTTTTTTTTGTAGTTTTATTATAGATAAACTGCAAAAATACATTAACAACTATGTAAAGGATTCCATATATAGTAAAAAAGTAATAGATTATATATATAGAAAACATTCATAAACAAATCACTGAATGAAAGTATTATCTCAGTATAGAAACATCATAACTAACTACATTATGATCTTAAAAAAACCCAACGATTACACATCAAAATCTATTATCCAGAACTAACCAACAAATTTTATGAAGTATTCTGTTAACTACATAAAAGTTTATTTCATTTTGGGTGTATTCTTGTAAGATCTTTTGTTATGCCTTCTCCTCCGCAGTTGCCGCATGAAACCTTGTACTTTTTTGAATTTATTTCATCATATGTTTTGTATCTTTCTTTTTGAGGTCTTCCTGGCTGCCTTTTTCCTCCTTTAGGTGGATTTACTACTTCTTCAGTTATATGTTGTGGCACATTCCATTTGCTCTCATCAGGCAGTGGATTTACTGGTATTTTATAAGTACGCAAGAGGTTCGCCCTTGTGTAATAAGGAGAACAATATTCTTCAAAAGACTCATCCCTTTGTCTTAAAGCAGCCAAAGCATGTGGACAAGGTAGTTCATCAAGCTGGAATTGCACACAACTACATTTGTTATTTTCAAGACAAACAATATAGAGTCTCACACCATCTATTACCATATGGATGTAGTCTGTTGAAGCCCTCACCTACGAGTACATTACAAACAAAAAAACAAATCATATATGGTTAAAATCAAGCTATCTACAAAATATCTACAAAATATCTACATTATGTTGTTTATGAATTTGATTCAATAAATAATCAGATATTACTCTAAGTTTGTGCGACAATGTTCTGTTGTCATCCAACTCTTTGTTGAATTTGTATCCAAGGTATGTGAATGTACCCTTTGCTTTCAATAATTTTTCTTTCATCCAACGTTCAAGAAGGGTCCTCATATACTCTAATAGTTCTACTATCGGCAACTCTCTTGCATATTTTGTTACTGCATTCAACGACTCTGCAATGTTTGATGTCATAGTCCAAGTTTTGTTTACCGTAGCATGTAATCGAGACCATATATGAGATCCAATATCGTATAAGTATGCTTTAACACGGGGGTCAATCTCCTCAATCTTTGACATCCTTTCATTAAATTCATCAAGTGTGTATGGTCGCGCCGTGGCAAAGTATAATTCACTTAGCTTAAGATGTCCCTTCTTGAACATTGCCCGTATATTTGTCCAAATATGCCACATGCAAGAATAATGTGGCATGCCAGGATAAACAATAGATGTTGCCTTCAAGATACTCTCATTCTGATCCAAAACAACACACATATTTGGTCTTTCACCATACGCGAGCTTGAATTGCTCAAAAAACCACTTCCATGATGCGTCATTCTCTGAATCAACAACAGCATATGCCAATGGTAATATGGTACCTACATTATGTGGCATGAAGCAATTAATTGGCTGCAGTAAAAATGTAGAAGAAGACATATATATATATATATATATATATATATATATATATATATATATATATATATATATATATATATATATAATTGTAGATACAATGTAGATAAATTGTAGTTTATTTACAATTTACCAGAATTTCATAGAAATTATAACATCGCACACCTGCAGCTGTGTTCTCATTGGTAATACTCAATTCAATATTGAAATCGCGAACTGTTATACATAGCGGATATGATCCTAAATTTTTGTTTTCCTTTTTCGTCTCCATGTATACACGAACACTGATATCATTCCTAATTTCCATTGGAGGACAATGCTCGTTGACAATATATTTGATTTCTATAATATTTTTGGATGTATCAATCATTACTTGTGCTATTGTAGAAATCAATAGATTATAAGTCGCATCGTCATCGACTACAATGCCATCGACCTCGAATTATCTAAATCTCACATAGCTATCCCAATTCCCATTCGATTGTAGCATAATTGGTATTATCGCCATAATTGCTTTTGTTGCAGAAGAATTGTAGAAGATTTTGCCGATTTTGATTTGTGAAATCAAAGAAAATGTTGAAACAGAATTTAGAGTGCTAGAATTTTGTAACGAAGTCGACGATAGTGATTACTGTGCATGATTTGCGTTGGAAGATCTGGAAAATATTTAATTCCCCTTTTTTAGCTCACCTAAATAAGGAATCCTACAGCTATAATGAATATATGTAGAAATACTATTAGCATGAAGGGTAATATGCATTAAAGAATTTAAAGATTCTTTTAAATAGTGAATTTTCTTGCACTTCTTGTTATCAAAGAAAGTTAATTATTAGACCATCACCAATAATGGTTGGGTTTGAGTCCCCTACTTTTTTGGAACGTATACAATGGGACATTTGTGGACCTATTCACCCACCTAATGAGTCGTTTAGATATTTTATGGTCTTAATAGATGGATCTTCTAGATGGTTTCATGTGTGCCTATTATCATCTCACAACCTCGCGTTTGCAAAATTAATGGCACAAATAATATGATTACGGTCATAGTTTCCCGATAATCCAATTAAGTCTATTCGACTTGATAATGCTGCTGAGTTTTCATCCCAAGCATATAATGATCATTGCTTATTAATTGGGATAAAAGTGGAATATCCCATAGCTCATGTTCACACTCAAAATGGTCTTGCAATGTCTTTGATTAAACGTCTGTTATTGATAGTAAGACCGTTACTCATGAAATCGAGGTTACCCACTTCTGTTTGGGGTCATGCCATTTTGCATGGAGAAATGCTAATTCGTCTTAGACCGATAAATTATCATAAATATTCCTCGTTGCAATTAGTTTTGGGTCATAAACCTAATATATCCCATTACGAATTTTTGGATGCGCAGTATATGTGCCTGTAGCACTGCCATATTGCACCAAAATGGGTCCCCAAAGAAGGTTAGGAATATATACTAAGTTTGAATCGCCCTCTATTATTCGCTACCTCGAAATATTAACGGGGAATTTGTTCACTGCTCGATTTGCAGACTGTCGATTCGATGAGACAATTTTTCCAATATTAGGGGGAGAAATTGGTGAAACCAAACGGGAAATTTTATTAAAAAATCTATCATTGTCTCATTTTGATCCATGTGCCTCTATTTGTAAAAAAGAGGTGCAAAAGATTATTCATTTGCAAAAAATAGCAAATCAAATGCCAGATGCGTTTACGGATCTGAAAAGCATAACAAAATCACATATCCATGCAGAGAATGTTCCAATCCGTATTCATGTCTCTATTAAACAATCTTCTAGTGTCATAGCTAATGAGACAAAAGAACGCCTAAAATATGACAGACCATTAGGTTATAAGGATCAAAATCCTAGAAAAAAGGAAAACAAATGATCAAGATGACACTACGAAAGAGTCTCATGAAGAAATCCACGATTTAACCAATCTTGAGATTCATGAGGAAATCACTGATCCTGAGACTCAAGAAAATAAGGAACTATCAATAAATCCAATCGATATTGAGACATGTTTGGATCGATTGGATATAGTGGTGGACTATGTTTTTACATATAATGTTAGTATCTAGTATTATGCAAGATAGTGAGGATCGTGAACCTCAATCTGCTGGAGAATATTGAAAAAGACATGATTGGCCAAAATGGCAAGAAGCAATCCAATCAGAGTTGAATTCACTTGCATAACGTGAAGTTTTTGGGCATATAGTCCAAATTCCTAATGGTGTTAAGCCTGTTGGCTATAAATGGGTCTTTGTACGCAAGAGGAATGAGAAAAATGAAGTACAAAGATATAAGGCACGCCTTGTTGCACAAGGATTTTTACAAAGGTCTGGTGTCGATTATGAAGAGATATATTCACCCGTTATGGATGCTATAACATTCCGTTATCTCATTAGTTTTGATATCCATGAAAAGCTTGACATGTATTTAATGGATGTGGTTACCTCCTACCTTTATGGCTCACTTGATAATGAGATATACACGAAAATTTTTGAGGGATTTAAAATGCCCGAAGCACATAATACAAAGTCCCGGAAAATATTTTCAATCAAATTGCAAAGATCTTTGTATGGTCTAAAGCAATCAGGACGAATGTCATATAACCGTCTTAGTGAATGTTTATTAAAAGAAGGTTATATAAATGATGTCATTTGCCCATGTGTTTTTATTAAGAAAACAACATCAGAATTTGTTGTACTTGCCGTATATGTTAATAACATAAACCTTATTGGAACTCCTGTCGAACTCCAAAAGGCAGTTGATTATTTAAAGAAGGAATTCGAGATGAAAGATCTCGGAAAGATAAAATTATGTCTCGGTTTGCAAATTGAACATTTGACAAACGAAATTTTCGTTCATCGATATACCTATATAGAAAAGGTATGAAACGGTTTTATATGGATGGAGCACATCCATTAAGTACTCTGATGGTTGTTCAATCACTTGATGTGAATAAGGATTCATTCCGACCTCAAGAAAAAAAATGAAGAGCTACTTTGTCCTGAAGTACTATATCTTAGTGCAATTGGTGTACTAATGTATCTTGCTAACATTACAAGGCCTGACATAACTTTTTCAGTTAATGTCTTAGCAAGATATAGCTCTGCTCCTATAAAGAGATATTGAAATAGAATCAAACACATATTGAGGTATCTAAAAGGGACTACCGATATGTGCTTATTTTATGGTAATAATTGCAGTCTCGATCTTGTTGGTTATGCCGACGCTGGGTATTTATCTGACCTACACAAGGCTCGATCTCAGACAGGCTATGTGTTTACATCTGGAGGTACTGCCATATCTTGACGATCGACTAAGCAATCAATGATGGCTACTTCATCTAATCATGCTGAGATAATTGTTATTCATGAAGCAAGTCGAGAATGTGTGTGGTTGATGTCTATAATACACCTTATTCGAGACAAATGTGGTTTGAAGTGTGACAAACTACCTATAATTTTGTATGAAGACAATGCAACATGCATAGCCCAATTGAAAGGAGGATTCATAAAAGGAGATAGGACAAAGCACATTTATTTTTCACACATGATCTTCAAAAGAATGGTGATATCAATGTGCAACAGATTCGTTCAAGTATAATATGGCTTTTGTCCCACTAGGTTTTCCTTGCAAGGTTTTTAACGAGGCAACCAAAAGGCGTATTTCTAAACATGTGTACTCTTTTTCCTTCTGTAAATTTTTTTCCCCACTGGATTGTATTTTAGTTAAGGTTATAACAAGGCACATTATTTGTTGAATAAACATTCAAGGGGAGAGTGGTATAAATAGAGTTTTATTTTAGGTGAATGTCTATACTTTAGAGAGATTTTAGGGATTTTACTTGGTGGCTAAGTCATTCTTTCCCTATAAATAGAGGGGTCCTATTCCATTGTAATTTATCAAAAAGAAATAAGAATTCTCTACCCTTCGGGGTAGGGGTAAGGTCTGCGTACATATTACCCTCCCCAGACCCCACTTGTGGGATTATACTGGGTCGTTGTTGTTGTTGTCTCTTTCTTTGCAATATTTTTCTTTATTATTTTATTACATATTCAAAATTTTCATATGAGTAAATAAAGTATTTTATAACAAGATCCAAGATATTGTTTTGCAAATACATGGCTAATATCTTATTAGTTTAAATTTAGTTGAGCTTTGTTAGTTTGCTTAGTTTTTCATGTTCTCTATTTATTTGACAATATGCTTCAACAACAACAACAACCTAGTAATAATCTTTCTAGTGGGGTTTGGGAAGGATAGAATGTACGCAGACCTTACCCCTCCCATGAGGGTAGAGAGTTGACAATATGCTTCGAAAAGGGAAAAAGGAAAGTAGCTCGCATTTATCTTTGTGGTCTTGACAAATTGCTTTAAAGAAGGAATGAAAAATTGACTATCACTAACAAAGTCTCTGCAACAATTTTTATGTATCTGTAAATATGTCTTAAATAGGGAAAATGAAAGAAAAAATTGGATTGCTCTGCTTTATCTATCATTTTCTGTAAGAAACTTTATCGTCGAATTACTATACTATGAATTCATTGTTCTTGTTTATATTTGTTCGTTGTGCTGAAGTTATGATCAAGAAATCGCCAAACTAAAAATATTGATTGCGTAATTTGAATAACAGAGTTTTTTAATATTACATATAAAAAATCAACATAAATTTGAAGGGGTGGTAAGAGATTACAATAGCCTTCCAAATATTGTATGTGTTTGCAACTGTAGAATCACTGAAGACATGACTCACATGTTGCAGAAGCTTTTATTTTCACCCTATCTATGTAATTGGCATTTACCGTCACATTTAGGAGATTAGATAGCAATTTTGTATAGGTCTTAGGGATTGTCGTTCTTTCTACATGTGATTAGATGGTTAACTTAGAAGTTGAATATGGTAAAAATGAATCACAATAGAGTTTTACATTTTTGCTGGGCTAAAATATTAGAAGTCCAATAGGGTAAAAATGAGATAGAGGCTTACATTTCATCTACTCCTTCTTAAGAAGAACATGGTTCAATTTTCTTTTAACAAAAATATAATAGTTGGTTATCCTTCTTTCGACGATGAGATGGTTATAATACTTTTAGATATGAGCTTTATTTAGCAGTTTTTGTCTTGATTTTAACCAACATCACATTCCACCGGAGATAAATAAAACATACTTGTGCCTTATTCCTAAAATAAAAAATGCGACTTCTATTAACCAATATCACCCTATTAGTCTTTGCCATACAATTTACAAACTAATCACCAAAATAATTGTTATTCGTCTAAAGCCTTTTTAAAC